CTCGCTTTCCGGACGCACCCGAATCGGCACGCACACGCGAGGACGACTTTCGTCGCACGTTTCTCCGCCTTTCGGTGCGGATCGAACATCTCGGCTCGACGGGGCGCTTGCGTCGGCTCGCACGGCATCCAATAACGCAGAAGTGCCTCGTCGTTCGGGTCTCGTCTCGGATCGATCACGGTCGTCCGCGAGCGATCGGAGACGCTCGCGTCGAAGAGAAGACGTGGAACGAAGAAGACGGACGGGCGTACCGAATGGAAGTCGAGAGTTTCCCCACCGAAGCACGGAAACGATCGAGATCGCGAAGGAAGATATTCGAACGGTGGATAACGGAAACGAACACTTCTCGAACCGGCATCACAGTCAGCCTGACGGCGAGGAGCAAGAAGCCAGGAGAGGATGCGAATGTGCACCGTCACCGTCTTCACCGTCTTCACCCTCTTCACCGTCTTCACCCTCTTCACCGTTTTCACCCTCTTCACCCTCGCGCCCGTCGCGGAACGATCCAAGGACACCCATCTCTACCGTGCGAAACATCGAGCGTCTCGTCGGTTCTCGCGCGGAACGGTTCGAAAATCCTTCGTCTGGCTGCCGATTCCAGCGGATTCCACGGATCGATGGACGCAACCTACGTCGGCTGATCCGTTTTCCACGGATCGTTAACACCAGTGAGGTGAAGAAGGACCGCAACCGAACGTCGATCGGACGCGACGAAACGATGCGGCCGAGTCTGCAATCTTCACGTCGTGCCGTTCCGACGAATGCGACACGAGAGACTCACGTGCGAGAGGCGGGTGGCTGCACGCCATCTCGCGATTCCCCCGCCTCTGTCTCCATTTCCCCGCTTCTATCTCCATTTCCTCGGCCTCATGCAGAGAGAGAATCGCGGGTCCATCGGAATTCCATCGATCGACAGATCGAGCATCCCGCGAGAGATCCGTTCAAAGTTTCGAGCGTATCAGGAGCCTCTTTACTTTCTCCTCTGTGAGATGCGGACGGCATCGAATGAAGCTCATTCTTCGTCGCAGCGAGGAAAATCGTATTCATCGCGCAACATCGATAATTAAACAAAGATACGATCATTCGACGCTTTCGAAAGTCACTCTTTAGATTCGGCGCTCTCTCGAAAGAAACGCGCGAGAAGTGACCTCTAGCGATAGCCAAAATTCCATTTCATAGTTCATCTGGAAACGTAAGAGAAATGGCGATGGTGTAAATCGACCAGAGAGCCGTATCCTCAGCCGCATGCACACGAACGCCATCTCCCTTTTACATTTCTGCAGGATGCTGCGATTTCGGTCGTGTTTTCAAATTCTGCATGCGAGAACGCTACGATCCGTTCTCTACGTGCAGAACCGAAATGTAATTTTCGCACGAGACGACCTCGACTCGAAGGATGGACGCGATTCGTTTCGTCTTGCGGATCTGTGCAAACCTCCCATCCGTGCCAGGAAAACAACTATATACTGGAGCTCTCTCTCGGTATACCGTATGCTACTTAGGGGTCAGAGGCGAGAGATGGAAGAAGGGGAACCGAGCTTCGGACGGTTAGACTCGAATGAAGCACAACGTACATCCCCCCCCCAAAGAGATGAGCGACGAATGAAGCACAGGGCACAGCGTACCGTCTCCCATTAGAGAAGCGACGAATGACGTCCGAAATGTCCAAGCCCGTTACGCCATCCCAAATTGAAATCCGTAAAGAGATGTCGGGTACATACATCCAGGAACGGGAAACTGACTTTCGTTCCTTCGCGAGACGATGCAATTCCGATTTAAAAGCTACAAGAAGATGGGATTCGCCAGTCGTTTCTTTCGTCGCATCGCATCGGCGTATGGCTACAGCCTGCCACGATGACACGAACGGGTGATCGGATCGATTCGCCGGTGAAAATCCAATCCATCTTCTCGAATGCGGTCTGGGATTTAACGAACGTTTTGCATTACCGGGAAAAAATAGCTTTTGAAAGACGCAGAGCCTTCAGACGAGCTCGTATAGCAGAGAAACGGACACCCTCTTCCTCTTCAACATCTTCACGTTTTTCCTACTTCATTTTTCCAGCGTCTCTATTATTTATTAATTCATTATTATTATCATATTTATTTATTATTATTATTATTTATTATTTTTATTTTTATTTATTAATTAATTATCTTTATTTAATTTTTATTTATTTATTTATTATTATTAATTTTTTTTTTTGGGGGGGGGGGGGGCTTGGGAGCCTTCCCTCTCAACCCCTTGGCTATGCCACTGGATAGAAGCCATTGTCTTTCTCGTCAGAACCAACGAAGATCGGAATTGAGGCCGGATGAGGAAGTAGATGCGATTGCCTTGCGCAGCTCGCTCTGGGTGGCCTCACGGCAGCTATCGCGTGGGAAGAAAAGCCTGAACGATGGCACATGCTAGACTTCTTCGGAGACGTTTCTCTCCCGGGTATCAACAGGTGGCGCATGGAAACCCTCTCATTAGTTGCAATCGAGTTCGCTTCGGTCCGCTGCTTAATTCGATGAGGGTTTCACACTGGCGAGATTTCGCATTCGGTTTTACCGTATCCATCGCGGGACCGTCCATCGCGATCACGTGGGTTTCGTAAGGACGCTTCATGATTTTCTCCTCCACCATCCAGGCGTTAGGCGATACTTTTCACCGTGATGCATCTGCGCTTTCATCCTGTTCCGGAGGGAATAATCCGTACAGAAAACAGACGAATCTCCCCCCGAAGGGCGAGATTCATCTCTTTTATTTTGATGTATGGACATCGTGAATGGGTATCTTTTGTATGGATATCGTCCGAAAACACGGTTCTGCACTTGGAACGACCACCACGGAATCGACGCAAACGATCGGCATGTCGCACGTTGTCGTGGGTCCCCCACTCCCCTACGCCCCATGGAGGTCACAAATTTATGACCTGGGTGCCATTTTCGTCTCTCTTATCGTTCGTCCATCGTGGGCTTAACGTACATATCAGTTTTTCGCGGGCCCAATCGTTCAGTCAGTGCCTTCTGCACTCTCAGCAGAAAGGGTTTGTGTTTCATCCTTTTAGGGATTTTTACCAGAAAAAAAGGATTTACAAAACATAAAACGTCTAGAGAAGAATTATAACTGGTTAAAAATCCCCTACTCTAAGGGGGCACTTCTCTAAAATTCTGAGGTCATCGCTAACTACTTTCTCCGATGTGAGAGATCCCTGTTGTGCTTTACTCTAGCCGAATCCGATTCAAAACGTCGCCTTCAACCTCGAGTGGCTGAAATGGTTCCTGATGTGTGACAAGGGAATAGCAGGTGCAAACCGTGTTCGGCCCAGAAGAAATAGCTAAGGTCCACTCCAATCTTTCCGGTTTTCAGCCCGGTGGAATTACTTCGAGAGGAGTTCCCAAATTCAGTGTTGAGCGGTAAAGAAGGAAAGATAACGTGTTATAGAAACTGATCAAAATGTTATGGTAGATTCGGAGGAAACGAGTTAAAGGCAGGGGCTTGTGACGATGCCGGTAACTATTTCCTTTTCATTGGAAAAAGTTAAGTGGCGTTACTGTAATGCATTTAATTCCAGATCATACCCACAAGATCGTCTGACAGTGATCAGCGCTTTATGAAAGTATGCATCTTTGGGTTCGTTTAAATAACTTGAAACATGAAAACGCAGGCACCAAATACACCATCGAAAACGAAAAGAGCCGTGGAGAAGCAGCGAGAAGCACGGACGAATCCGTCTTTCCTTCATCACCCCGTCGAGACTCCTGCAAGAATCACGAGAGGGGGCCGTCTGACGACACGGGATTCGCCGTGGTCGCGGCTAGGAATTCCGAGCGATGAAACGGAAAAGAAAAGGAAAGAATATGCTCTGAAGAAGGTCGGAGGAGTGTTCGAGTTTTGGCATGTTGCACACAAGTACTCGGAGAACCGGCTGTGCTCTGGAGCGGCTATCAGCGGAGGAGGTGCGGACACTTTCTCCAATGAGAGATACTGAAATTCTCGTGCTTGCTTCGGGATGAAGCTCCTAACAGGCGTGGGTTTTCACGAACGAGTCCACCGGCACGAAAGTGAGACGAGGAAGAGTGCCAGGCGGCAATTCTGCTCTGTCACAGGAAAATAGAGACGAATATGGAAATACCCTCGAGGATATAGGTCGGTTGTCTATGCAGACGATCTCTCACGCGAGTAACTTTCATGCGAGTGTGCTCGCATGTGTGAATCCCCCTTAAGATGCATCACGAAGGAAGAGTGGAAACAATACGAAATGTCAATGTCATTCGTAGGAATACTATTGAGGTATTGAAGGTCAGTTCCAGGTCACAAGAGCTCGAGAAAAGCAGCTAGAAAAAAAGACTTGTTCTTGCAGGTAACGTGCTCGATACTGCACGAACGACATCTCTCCCTCTCCGACCTCCGACACTGGTGCAACGTGAGAACCTTGGATGCAAGACGAATTTCCCCCTCGGCCCACGCCAGTCCGACGAACTTCACCGGTCTTTAGGAAAAACTCTTCCCCGGATGTGTCGTGAGGAAGACCTTACCTCCGAGATGTTCTTGTTATGAGGTGCGATCCCTCTCGTGGCAGCCTCGGCTGGATGCGGAATTCACACGAAACTTCATTCCCTTCCACGCTTCCAGAAAGACGCCTCAAACTCGACACCGACTGCAGCTAGAGAGGTGGTCTTCACTCGATGGTCACTCGCTGCCCACTGACCTCTTCCTTCCCCTTCTGTCGCCTACTTCTCCATTCTCCCATCCCGAGTCCCGATTCCTGGGTTCCAATAGCCGGAACCCAAGACGTATCACCCCCTAATCGGGTGTTGCATCTCTAAGCCATCTCCGCCCCTTCTTCGTCTTTCCCAGGATTCAACAATCTGGCCACATGTTAACCGCACGAAGTCCCTAGCTTTGTATCACAACCTAGGTAGGTGGAATTCTGCTTCGAGTCCTCGGGAACGTTAAGGCGGATTAAACGCAAACCTTTTCGATGAAGCAGTATAGTATAACACAAACCGTCTGGATGAGGCAATACGGATTATCGGATTATCCCTCCGGGATGCAGGCAAGGTTTCTGGTGAGCCCATACACTTCTATGTCGACCGACAACCTTCGTCTCGTTATTTTGGAACTCGGGAATTCCAGCCAAAGTTTCATTGACGTGAGTAACGTCCATCGTGGAAAAACGTGGAACGGATTCTCGTTGGACCGGGCTAAGGGTTACGCATCTCATTCAAATTCCTCATGCTCCCCATGCTAGAATGGCGAACTGAAAAGAAAAAGCGTTAATCGAGATGGTCGAAAAGTGCTCCCATCGGCGAAGTCATCATCGGTCGAAGTGATTTCACATCTCATATTGCAGTGATGAAAACGCTTTCGATGTCTCCATTCGCCTTGAAACGAGTCTATGTGGAGTACATCCCAAGTACAGACTGAATCTTGTCGTGGACCTGGCCCGGCTTGCCAGCAGCGGCTCGGAAATTCCAGACCATCTCTTCGTCCCAGGCGTTGCGATCACGACCACTGCAGCATCTGGCGCATCAACCATAACGACAGGCTCGTAAATTTTGGTCTGAGTTTTCTTCTTAATTTAGTTGATTATTTTTTCTAAGTCGTATCGCTACAACTTTTCCTGTTCTCTTACTACTCTCCTGGCTTATTATAGAATTTTAAGCAGGAATTAGAAAGACATTGGCTGTGGACAGCGAGAGACAGTTCCAGATCAGACCAGACGAGTGATTTCTGGTTTCAGAGCCATCTATTTAATAATAGCCGACGTTTGTCTGTCTGTCCGCCGGAGTCCCGCACGGGTCGCTTTTTCGAACCCAACCCGATCGGCCCGATTCGAATCGTGCCCCCACCCGACCCGAAACTCGATCGCCGGACCGAACTTTACGGACAATCTCATGGATGACCATTTGTGAACTTCCTTTTTCCATGCGAGTATGCTGCCACGGGTAGACCCGCCCTCGCACGAGTACGAAGGAGGAGCGTACGGGATACGTACGCTACGCGTATCCGAATGACTAAGGGGAAGAAGCTCTGTGCTACTCCGCGTACATCTCTACTGATTACCCTCTCGGTCTTCTTTCGGCCTACGTAGACACTACGTTCGTCCCTATCCTCGCCCCCGCGTCCCCTTCCCTACCATTTCACCTCGAAACGTGTCTTGCAAGCCTCGCCCTCGACCTACTCTCGATGTGCCATTTGGACGATTTTAGGCCTAGCTCGCCTTTCAAATATAACTCTCGCTTGAAACACGTCTAAACCTAACGTTTGGCCGGTTGGCCTTGGCCTTAATTTTGGGCAGACGGGGCCGAAACGACTAAAACGTTTTACCATCTTTGAACCGCTTGAGCGGTTCTCTCTCAACAACCTGCAGCTTGTATGTACGAGTATGTTTTGCGAGTGAGTGTCGCAGATCGTGGATGTCTCTTCTTACAGGTGGCTTCAGTGCGACTAAAGGGATATAGGTACCTTTCGACCAAATCAGAGAAGACGATTGCCAAAGAAAGTGGTTGGAGAAGTGAGGAGCTTTCGATCGCTATGAACGTGAGTGAAGCAGGAACGAGTGGGGTCGAAGGTTCAGACCTAGATCCTTCCGATCGTGGCATGGATTCTGAGTCCCTTTTCGCGATGGAAATCTACAAGGAGATGAAGAGGAACGTGAGGAACCTCATCCACGTCTCTGACTCCGAAGGGTGAGCAGGAGCGCAACTTTTTTATTTAAATTCTATTTCTGTACTCTTTGTTCTGCTCTCCGAGGTCTTTCGTCCTTATTGCCTCAAATCCTGGCTATGCCATCTTCCGATCGCTACAAAAATTTTCAGAGTAAGTGACGATGATTAGTGATTTTTGACCCACCATTATGGTTTAAAGAGCACGGATGGGTTACCACATCTTCGGTGATTAAACGCGCTCTGTGTATTTTAGCTTTTTTTTTTTAACTTCGTGTACTTTAACCATGACATAATAATCAAAAATTGATGGTGGGGAGGAGGTTGGGTCCCAACCTCCGGGGCCTGTACCTCGCCTACGCTAATCCAAGCCGCTAAAATATAACCTATATCTGCAATAAATATCAACCGGACTAAAAGCAATGAAAGAAGCAGGCACGTCTCTTCCTCATCTGTGCTAAGACACCGATCCAAAACTGAATCTACTCCATGAATTTTATTTAGATTTAGATTTAGATTTAGATTTAACATAGGGAAGGAACAGACCCTTGTTTTCTTTGCGCCTATTGCCCCACAATTCATGGATTTAAATAACAGCTACAGCGCAAATGTTAAATGTGGGAGTGACATCACTTGTTTTGCTTTAGGCTTTCATCGGGAGACGAGGTGCCTCGTTTCGTTCTCGGCATACAAGATAGCTTGGATACGATGGTGAGTTTTAAATGAAAGCCGTCATCATGCAAAAATCTTCCCCATCGTGCTCGAGGTCTGCTCACTTGTCGACCGTTACAGTGTTGGAGCAGCCGTCAGGTCTGCAAGTGCTTCATTTCTTTTCGTTAAGGTCGTAGCGCGAGGTTAGACTCATCTTTACTTCTGGGGTGTTACTCGACGACAACGGAGATCATCGCTTAAAACCGAATGATATAAAATGACTACATCACATTCCCATGTTCTGATAGCTCTTATTTGTGTACAGGAAAGGTTAAAAAAAATATATGCCCTCATCTCAAGAATGTGTTGGCATCACTATCGCGTGAGAACGCCGGGGTCGTTCTCTTCTGTAGACACTGCTGCCAATCCAAAAGTTGATAACCAGAAGCGGAGTTGAAAAGTAGGCCTGCCCAATCTGACACGATGCAATCGGGTGGAATCGCGTCTCGTTTGGGATCCCTTTGGCGATTGGCGTCCTTTGGCGTCCTCTCTGCCTAGGAGCGCTGACCTCTGCCTGTCACGCGTCAACGGTTCCTCGGGCAGTGCATGCGTGGCCTGCTTGGTGGACCGCTAAATAATGGCTAAATTGGAAAAACAGATCCGTAAAAAAAAACTGGGAATTCTTCTAGGTTTGAATTCTTGGTAGTCGGTGAGTATTTTTTAAATTTTCTTGTGGTTCAAAATTTAAGCAGTTTTTTTCCAACACTGGGATTTTCATTGTAGATTTTTATTATAGATTCAGAACCCCCTCCTTTAGTGCTTTGTAATGAAGCTATCAATCGGCCTCCTAGCACTTATATAGCTTGTAACAGGCAAATTATCCGTCATTCAATTTTGTCATCAGATCCTTGACTCTCAGGACTTTGAGTGGAGAAATTAAGGTTTACATTTAGGGTCTCCAACTGGTACATAACATCCATGAACTTTTCTTGCAAAATCTGTTAGTCAATAGGCACCTTTTTTGGAGTTTTTTCCGAGTTGATGAAATCCTTTGACATGACATTCAATTCGTCGACAAGTCGGTGCGACTGGAATAGCTTTCCTCAGTGATATTGCTGTGTCCGGAAGATATATATTAATATTATGCAACATTCTGTCCAGTGTTATGGACATAGTTTTCTGATAATATAGTGTACTTTTTTGTTTATTTTGCGCCCGTTATCGCATGATATTCGGCTTGTGGCATCGGGTTAGCCCCAATTGCTGTCGTCGTTTTAGCCCCTGTAGTTCTGACCGGGGGGTTAGAAATGCCTCCTTCATCGTTAAATTAAGCCTCTCGTGTGAGTGGTGCTTTGTAAGTTCTCTCGTGTGCTTCTTTCTAGGTCTTCTAAATTGACAAGGTTATGGACTCTCGTTAGAATAGTAGTGATGTACTCGGGGACCTATTTGAGAATGCCTGAACTTACAATACAGGCTTTTGTCTATCGTTTAGAGAATACGCGAAATTTACGTCTTCGTTGCGTGAAGTGTTGCAGTGGCCGGAGAAGGCTTCCTCTGGAGGTGACCGCGTCCTGAAAATCTCAACATTTTTCCATCTCTTCTCGCTCCGAAACTCCAGATCGAAGAATGAATCTACAACCCCTGGCTGGGTCTTTCCACTCTAGATATTGATCTGGCTACGATGAGATTGAATCTTAGCATTCGAACTACTCTATGTGCATGAGGTGAACTACCCTATATATGATGAAGAAAGTCGTGATGAAGTTCATAAGTGAAACTCCATTCATTAACGGTCGTCAAGTTCTTAGCCGATGCCAACCGCTGCAGATGGAAACGTGAAATTCTGTGCGAATGCAGCACTCTCTATAGATTGAATGACCTGTAATTTAAATCCACTTCTTTTTAGTATTTTCGGAGAATTCAACGGAGAGACGAGTGAAGGGTATCAGATGAGGGATAGGAAAAAGAATGACGCAAAACCTATGGGTTCTAAGGGTTCTTGTGCACCTCAAGCATAAAACGAGCACGCTAACTTCTTGAAGAAAGAAGTCACTGTACTTCCTTTACAGATGGTTGAAACTTGGAACTGGAAGCGGAATCGATGGGTGAATTGTCACAGTTCTTCACGTATTGAGGTCTCTCCGCTCTTTATATAGTTGCCCCTGGCAGAAGGGGAGGTGACGTCCCAGGAGATCACCTGCCGACCTGCCGGCTCGAACGAGTGTCACATGACGATCTGGGAGCCTATCGGATACGAAGCCCACACCGTGGATCTGGACTACAAGATGGAATCCGCGGGAATCCTGCATGATCCCGTTCCAGCAACGACGAACTGGGAGGGTTATCACGGCTTCACGGTCTCTTTCCCCGAGTCTACGAGTTTCTCCAGCGGGACCTGGACTGTGAGTTCAGCGTTACATTATCTATTCTTCTGTACTATTTTCACCTGGCTTTTCTTCCTTCTTCGTTCTACCCTTATTTGAACGAAACAAAAGAATCTTACCGACCAGACTAAACACGAGCATATCTTTGCTTGAGTATTCCATGTGGTATTTCTATTGTAGTAGTATCGTGGAAGTTACTCTTTTACTCCGAATATGATGGAATCGATGAAGCTTCTGATTCAATGGAGGGAGCCATCGTTGAATCTTGAATTCATACGTCATACTCCCTAGTGCGTACGATATTTGTACAGTATTCGTACGTGTATGTACCTGTCAGCATGAAACTTTCACCACACTTCCCTGTTATGGTATTCCTTGGAGAATCGTCAACACTTTTGCACGACTCACAAACCTAAGATTTTCATATTTTCGGTTTTATAAAAATTTTTTACAGCGAAATGATTCTCTATAAAATAAAATCGATGTAAAACGGCATGTAATGGAATCGATTTATGAATGGAATAGTCCTTGCTCCATGTCAACCTCCTACCATCTCTGTATCTCCAGGCATTCTCTCCAATTCTCCTCCCTATTGTCGTCACATCCAACATCATTTCGACCGTGTCGTATAATATGGAGCTCCAAAAGAAAAAGGCTCACTGGTCTGGGCTTACCCTATTTGTTCTCGAGTCTTACCTGGCTTTTTCTCCTTAAGTGGTCTGCCATCCTGGGGAAGCTTTTCGTGGAGATGAAGAAGACGTGCCCTTTCCAAGTCCACATTCGCCGATATGGCCATGCACCCCTGTGCATCCGGGCCATGATGGTTTATGCATCTCCACATTACATTCAATATGCCGTGAATAGGTGCCCTCACCATGCCGAACCAAATCACGTTTCCAACAAGGGTGATCTCCCTCATCTATTCACTCGTCTCTTTTTTCCCGGTTGTAAGTTTGAAAGGAGTTTGAGTCGTGTGTCTTCGTCTCTAGGTTACATGCGGAATGAGGAGTTGTTGCAACACGTGGTTCGGGCCGATCATCAAAATGCCAAATATGAGCGGTCGTCGAGGGGCCGCCACTCGGTCGTCATTCCTCTCGATCGCCCTTCTCCGGGGACTGAGTTCACAACCCTTCTTTTTCAGTTTTCTTGTCTTGGATCCTGCCCCGGTGGCATTAACGGAAGGACAACCAAGCTGCTTCTCACTCTCGAGACCAGAAGGTTAGAGGAGAACGCTTTGTCAACGTGTCTACGGTCGATGTAAACGGTGATGAGACCGTGAAAAACGCTTTTCTCACTACATCAATCGTCTCTCGCGAAACAGGCACCGATGGATGAATTACTTCTTCCGTTCTGTACTTTAACATTCATATTTTAAATATTACCTTCCCATTTTGAGTGCGTGAAGAAACATTCTCCTTGATCTTATCCTGGCTGCCTTACTGATCTCAACTTACTAGGAGTTCTTTAATTCAACTTCAAAGATTGGGAGGTCAAAACTTGAAAAAATATTTTTCAGGAGAACGCCTAGGTGGTAAAATGTGCCCTTGCCAGTTTTTTTCGTTTTGAGTCATTAGCTTCACAGTACCAAATGCTTTATGCTTTCATTCATGCTTTTAATTTTGTTGGACAAAACTCTTGATATTAATACTTTGTATACCAACCCCTCACATTTCTTCTCATTTTTATGATGGAGGATCAAGAAGTAGTTCAAATGGGTGAAAGTGATGTGTGATGGTAAGCAGGGCCGCCCAGAGGGGGGGGGAGGGGGGGGAGCAATTGGGGCAATCTGCCCCGGGCCCCACATATCAAGGGATCCTAAGGGGGGGCCTCCAAAGGGCCTCAAGGGAACCCCCAAGGGGGTCTCCGGTTTAGTTTTGCCCCGGGCCCTTGGAAACCTCTGGGTGGCCCTGATGGTAAGGGTTGAGGGAATGAAGAGAATGGATGAAAATTATGGCAAATATTTCATATTTCTAAATATGGTAAGATTCCCGTTAGCCACTATTACTCGAACTTCAGGCATTTTACCAAGTCAGTAATTGTGCTTGCACTTAAAAGTGATTACATGTTTGTGTTGGGATGGAATCTGTGTGCACACTTTGTTCTCTTCAGTCCTCACGATGGAACAATGCTTGCTTCTAAGGCACAGCTCGCAGCTTGTTTGTTGCACCATCGAGTTCAGGTTTGAATAATTTCAAGCAAAGTGGTCTCGCTAGATTTCTATTGAGTCCATTATATAAATGCTAGCGAAGACTGAAAAATCATATAATTACTAAACCTGAATATCAAAAGTTGGCCTGCAGTAGGTAGTCTCACAATTTATTTGTTGTTCATGGAAGTGGAGCTCTGCTGATTATTCCAAGTACAAATAATATTACCCAATGGCATTGAAAGGCGTCACATGCAGTTAAAAAATTGAATTTTGTGTCTTGCTGTCACAAAACCTCAAATTAGCTTCAATTGTATACATCAAAATATTCCCTCGTTTGCTCACTTTTCCAGAAGAATCACATCACTATTGTGAGACTTCTTAAATTTCCTCTGTGCCTTTAGACTGATCAATATTTGGATGTAGACCTAACTAGACATCGTCGATTTGATTCTCCCAATTGTATCTTGCCGTCTCATCACCTTATGCGTCGACGGTTGGACTTCGAAATGAGTGATTTGATGAAAGAAAATGATAATTTTATAGTGGTGAGGTGGTAGGACGTTCAGCCCTGGACCTCAAGATCTGTGCATGTCCTTTGCGCGATAGACGACAGGAGGAGAGAAAAGTGGAAAGACGAAGGGACGATTGCTCTGTGAGGATCCCAGCTGTAAAACGGACCGTAAATGATGCAGACTTCTCTGAAACTGTTGAGGCAATAATTCCTTCTGTGCTGGGATCAAAGAGTTGCAGGTGGTCAAGGGTGCCCATCCTCATTCATATGGGATGCGGCCACAGGGGAGGGATGATCCACATTGTGAAACGTTTACTACAAGGATGGCTGTTGGTATTCTCACTATGCAAGACATGATGCAGTTTGTGGACTTTCTTCATCAGAGGCATCCACACGTGTTCAAGGAGTATGAGCAATCGTGAGTCATGAAGTTTGAGCATGCAGCTTCAAGGCAGTTTCTGTATAAAGTTGACAATCTTGCGAATAACGATTCTGTACTTTTGTTTTCAGTCGTTTCCAAAGGAGATCAAATCATCCTCATGAGTGAAATGTGGAGCAGCTGTGCTATTTCATATCTTGAAGCTTTTTAAAAATGCTTTGTACCTTCTTTCCTGTGCATGGCCCTACTTTTTCCCATAGTTACATTCTGCTACCTGTTATCATTTTGGCGAGAATTTTCTAGTGAAACTTATTTGGCTATTCCTGCTTGACAATAGGCATTTTTATTTTATACAAGCTATAAACGCGCCTTCGATGCTCTGCGCTCCAAAAAAAAATTGCTAATACGTTTTAAACATCCCTTTTCGACCCTCATACCTACAAATGAGGTAAAACTCCTTGAGTTATTAGTATTTAATGGGCTTAGGTTACTTCTGGTTGTGTAAAGTCATTTCCTACCTGATGTTAGCAACATGGACTGAGCAGAGATTCTTAATTTCCCCTGAAATTTCGCCTTAAAGTTTATCCTTCATACATTGCCTTCTATGGCAAAAGACTGTAAGATTCAGTTTTCCTTGAGCAAAATTCTGCAAGGTTACGTATTCTCCCCCTCAAAAAAGGGACCTCGAGGATGACAGGATCTTAATCTCAAGATTTTATCTGAATAAAAAAATGTAAGAAATTGGATATGTATACATTTACCCGCTTTACTGCAGCGGAAAAACTCTGGGAAAATCGATTTGAAAAAAAAAAACCTAGTTTCAGATTTCTATTGCTGCCCGATTTGCAGCAGAGAGAATATTCTCAGAAACGTCCTCACGTAAAAATTTGAGACCCAAGGGGATGGCCTCACAAGTCAGTATTTCTTTGCTAGCGCATTTCCTAGAACATAGTGTTTACAGAACTTTAGTTTCCTTCATGTTCCCGTATCACTGGGACAAGAAAGTGTCATAGGGAATGTCTTTTAAGGAAATAATTGCCACAGGAAAATGTATCCCGAAATTATTATTTCCTTCTATAGCTATATCTGTATCTTAGCTTTCCACGTCCTTTCATTTGACTGGAGCCAAACAATTTCTTTGAAAACTCCCCCCCTCCCCCCAAAAAGAAAATTCATTAAGAGATTTATCTTTTAAGCGAAAATTTCGTATAAATTACCATATCAGTAAGCACGTTCATGCTCATTTTCAGCTTTTCTTGTCCCTCCCTTTGACCAAGGAAAAAATTAATTTGAAAACGTCTCCCTGAAGGTAAGTGCCCCAAGGGCATATATCTGAAAATTGGAATCTTTCTGGAAATCAGCATATCAATAGGCATTTCCAGGACCATTTTCAGCTTTCCATGTCTTTTCGTTTGACTGAAGTAAAATAAACTTTTTCAAAATGTCCTGAATAAATACGCCCCCAGGGAAATCACCTCCAAAGTTGGATTTTTTCTGTACACAGCATCCCAATAGCTACTTGTGTACCATGTTTAAGATTTCTAACTTCTCTAGAACATGGTTGGAATTAGCGTCAGTCAGTCAGTCACGATCGTCTATATATATTAGACATTTTGGTAGAGAAAAATACCTTAATTTACTCCCATGGGAAGGACTGAAATGGAGATATCATGTTTTTCAAGTATTGCAGGCTACTATTCATTCTGGAATGTCCTTATGGTGTTCAGTATCTTGAATGCATGCATTTTAGACTAAGAACGAACAAGCACAGCACCAAGGAAAATATGAGTGATCACATGTAGATTCGGGACGAAGTGGAACTCCCGATATCCCAATACCCCAATTTGAAAGCCTTTGCTACAGATTGCATCTCGACCGCTTTTCTGATAGTACAAAACTGAAGGTTAGGTTAACGAATGTTTGACGAATGCATGGCATTCGAGGAAAAAAAATATCCATCGCACCTTAGTGAATCCTAATGAATGAAAGAAGGCATGATCGTCGCACAAATTAAAAGACATTCCTGATGGGACGCAATGCTGACATGCCGTATGAGTTCGCGTACTCGTCTGCATGGGTCTCTATACAAATTCAACTTTATTTTATTTGCCAGTAACATCACCTCTCCCTTGAATCCGCTTGAGAAAATGACATCGCACAAGTGCTTTTCGATGCTTGCAGGTCAGTATCTTCACAGCAATATTTGAAAACTGATTGTCAGTATCTCACGGTTGCGTTGGCCTCGGGTTTTGTGAAATTCATGGGGGGTTGGGAATCTCCTTTGTGAAATACTAAAAAATCGATAAACCCGCCCGTGTTGTGAAATTGTCTCAAGGTCGCGTGAATGTCAGTCACCCTGAGGAGATATTGAATCTCAATAGTTCGAAAATCATCCTCCCCGTGGCTCGGCTTGTCCGGCCGCGGACAATATTCTATCCCCGTGTGGACGGCTTCCTGTAGGCTATAGAGTGCCGCAACTGCTACTGCCTGCCTCTACTAAAGAAGTAAATTGGAGGAAGGCTGTGGCAGCGTCGACAAAGAGAAGTCATGGTGTCAGTGAGGGAGGCAGAAATCTCTCTATGGGACTTCCTTTGGTGTCATTAAAGAGCTTACCGAATTTAATCCGTAGGCCAAGAACGAGAATGTGTTGCTCCAAGTACGAAATATATGTTAAGCCCTGCCCACTTTCATTGCTGTCGCATTCATTCCCATCCTCATCCCCTGAATTCACTATTGACGATCGCCCTGCCGGAATGCGCCGGAGAAACAAGCTGTCGGATGCTTGAAGCTCTCGACGAACGCTCTAAGGCAGTGGTCAACAATTAAATTTCACGGCGGGCCGGATGGCATAATGCTGAACGTTCGCGAGCCAGCGCCTACCAATCGTCATTAAAATGAAAATTGTATCGAACGTCTCATGTCAAACGTGCAGCTGAACGTCTAATGTAAGATCGTAATTTCCGATATCCGGGTCTTCGCAGGCCAGAGGGAGGGCTTCCGCGGGCCGCCAGTTGCCGACCACTGCTCTAAGGGCTGAAACTAGCTACGCTAGAGGGCTGTAGAATCAACCTGCAAGTACAAGATTTCACCCGTGGGAACACGAGCGACCTTTCAAAAAGAGTTTTTTTTTTCCATAGTTAATTGACTTCATTTTGACAACGCCTGTCGACATATTCACTGATTTATCCTGACAATGCTTCTTCGACTGAAACAAAATTCAATTTCCCTCGGGTGTCTTGATGATTCCGTTTCTACCTAAGGGTAAACAATAAGATGGAAGCAGTAGCAATATATCCAGGTGATTCTGAATTGGGAGGTGATATGGTGGAATCATTTCGAGACGATTTCGATAAATCCGTGGGTTTATCGAAATTCTGTGTCCCACCAGGGAGATCTCGAATCACTCTGACTTCTGACTTCTATGGCATGTATGGTAAGGTTATAAGATTTTCAGGCAGGGGCATGCATGAAGTCACCCTTTGCTTGGGCTGTAGGAAGCCAACAGTTCGTTGAGCTACTTTTCCCTTGGCAAATGGGAGAAAGTCCCTTGAAAATGAAGCTTCTGTCCCGCTGAGTTTCTGTGTGATTGTGCCAAGTCCCCGAATGAGGGACGATCGCTTCAATTATGTGAAGTCTGGGAACCCAAATATATGCCCGTCCAACAACTGCAAGCGCTTTGTACACTGACTTGACGTCAGTAGTGCCCCAATGAGACGTGTTCTTTCATTTGGTACTCTTCCCCAAGTTTTGCTAGGTTGCAGTGCGTGGTTTTCGTGCAGGCGTGCCATACTCCCATGAACCGATTTTCCAGTCTCCGTTTTGCGCCTTCATAGGCGTAACGTGGATGGTAAAAGTGGGGTGTACAGCTGGAAGTTATAGGTTTCCAACCGGGATTTTAAGCTGGGTGGTGTTCCAGTCAGGGTGCAGTCATGGGCCGAGGATCTCTTGTACGATAGAGGTAATTGTGGGGTGAAGACTTCTCAGGGCATCCACTCTCGACCATGTTTCGTAAGTCTAGGTTCGGGTCTTTCGGTTCGTAGTATCCCTTCGCAAATTCGAAGGACCGGTCAGTCAGCCTCCGGGATTGAATTCCTAGGCCGTTCAATCGTGCTCGGGTAAGCCACAAATTTGACTTCGGGAAGAAATCGCCCGATCGTTTCAGCCCCAGTACTTCAACTGTTCCATTTTTCTGTGCTACTTTGGATCCGTCTAAATGCTTTCATAGAGGCATGGAATGATGCTCTTGAGCCGCAGAGATCTGAGGCAAGAACGACTCCCACCTTTCCAGGAGCCGAATCGGCAGGGAATTCCGGAAACGAAAACTAACTCCTACTACCATACTCGATTGAAGGAAGTGACTGTAACGCGTGTTTGGATATTTTTTCAGAGACGATTCAATTGCCTGGGTAACAGACTCGGACCGATTTCAAAACGGCAGTTTAGTTGCAGTATCAGTCGGAATTTCAGTGTAAGAGTAATCGATAAGGGCACAGTGGAACATCAGTCAGACCAAAGTGTGAACTGAAACTGAACTGGCTGTCTTTAAATCAGTTTGTCTCGTACGACTAAGGAAAATTTGGGAGTGAGAACCCCACGAGAAATTCATGTGTAAGTCGTCTAAAACGGGGAGTTTTCAACCGATTCGCATACAAGAGAAGAACCATGGCTTCTTCTCTTATAGGCGGATGGGATACAGTCATGTAAATTTCCACCTCCTGCAATAGTGCCATTTTTTGTAAAAAATTAAGATTCAGCAGATGAAGATTCATACAATCACTTTTAAAATAGACACACGACATAGGAGACGTTTTCTAGGGATGACTCATCAGAAAGTCTCATGTGAATGTGGTCTTAGGACCCTCACGGGGGACTGTTCCGAAAGTAAGTTGACAACAAAAAGGAGATACACAATTCATTATGAAGAGAGAAAATAAAATGACTGAAGATGAGCATAGAATAAATCACCAGCTGTCAACTGTCACACACGCCAAGAAGACTCAATTCCTAACAAGAGGACCGCTCTTCTTATAAGCTTTCCATTCGAATTAAAAAACTCTCCAAATGCAGAGGATGAATATGACACAATTAGTTGGTTGAACTCTTATCAAGCAACCAAAATAAGGATAGCATCACAATCTCTGATTTCTTTCTTGAAATTGAGAACAGAACAAGACAATCTCACATTAACAGCCAACTTACTGGCATTCAAATTCAAAGTGGAAATAGGTGGCTGACGTCTTCTAAATGTGACGGATTCAGGATGTGAAAATACTAGACATTTTGGAAGAAAAAGATGAATAAATTCTGTCAAAGTGAAACAATCAGGAAACACTATCATAACTGCAGACTTATGCAGCGGAATGCATTAGGCATAATCTGGGAAACTTTCAAAATCATATAAAGAAAGACTGTGATGAATCAGCCAAGTTCACTCACCAATGAAGAGGATCGTGCTATGGGCACCAATGTACCATGAGTGACTGCAGCCAATTTAGTCTATAGTAAATGTCAAATTCTGGAATTCAAACATGGAACACCCTAGAAAGGATATTTTGGCCTTTCCTAGCTGTTGTCATTCCAACTGAGGCATGAGATCATTGCCAGATGGTCAATCATCTCTAGCAAAACAACAGTTAGTAAATTCACAGAGAATTCATCCCTGGCTTTGCACAGAAAAGCATACCACAATCTGAAGGTTCTATTACTTCTTTTTGCATAAGATCTCTGCTACAGGATAGATGCAGAGCCAATCCTGAGTTTCCACAAGAAGAAACATGTTGGTTTGCATGAAACTATGTATCACATGTTATTTTCTGCAGGGTGGTGGAAAGGCAACAACATATCAGACAGCGCTGTTCCGCAGTTGCTGTTGCTGTTGTTGGAGGAGAGCAGCTTGACTCCCATTGGAGTGGCACTGGCTGGCCTGGCTCGTTGATCCATCGATTGAGTCCAAGTCCAAGCTGTCGAGGACGCTTTCAGAATGTGATTCAGCAAGCAGTGGGTGTGCTGAACCACTCAGCCACCCCAAGGATGCCTCCACTGGGTTCCCTGGGTTCACCACTGATGTGCTGCTTGGGTCAGTCACCATCACACTCAGACCTGATGGTGAGAAAAATAATAAATAAATAATGCACTGCAAAGGACTAATCCAGCCCAGTAGCATGCCTTCTTTAAATATAGCTGGGCTTATTGCTCCAGCAAACAAAACACAATCCCATCCTGAACTTTGAGTACCATAATAAGGAATGCTAAATGCAATAACTATGAAAAGAACCTTAATTGGTGTTTGCTGCCATTCTACCATAGTAAAGACTACTATGATTTCAATTCTATGCAAAAAATATTCAAGCCGAAAGCCAACTTGAAAGAAATATCTATGAACATTGTTTTTCTTCTACTACTGCAGGGAGTCAACAGAGTAATAATTTTCCTTGGTATAGTACCACTGAACTTCAGAAAATTTATTGCATTGCCAATCCCTACCGTGGAAAAAAAAACCACTCCATGTTTTATTCAAGCATATAGCTTGTCTGAAACAGGAAAAAGAATTGAAATTATGGGAATTCTGAAAATTTTTGCCTTTTAATTTTATGGTGCTTCATATAGGGAATCCCAATTGGGAAGAGTTCTTACCCCTACTCCCTGTGGGGGCATTTGGGCTACTCAGCCGACTTATCTTCTTTCCTTTCTGATGGTGGCCCTTGTCAGTAGATGTTGGGCGCTTTGCCCCACCGCCATCCTTCGATAAACCCTTAGGCTGTTCTGACTTCCCTCCTGTTGCATCTGCCACCACTTGAAAATTTGGCTGTGGGTCTGGTTGGGTGTGAACACCAGGTGTCCCTGCTTCGAAAAGCCCTGGGGTTCCATTCTGACAAATAACCAAATTAGTCACAATCAAATACCACCAGGAGAAGAATTTTCCCTTTAAAGTCCAACAGTCTATAATCACACAATACAACCAGAGATAGATGGGGGGGGATATAGCTAAAATATTCAGTGTCTGTATGTCTGTTGGGCTGTGGTGATGCAAGCCTTCAGAGAGCAAGAGATGGTAAGGAAGGCACCAATTACTCAGTCCCAACATTAATAATGATCCCTAATAAGGGGTTTGTGAAAGCTGAAAATCAGCTCTTGCAGCCTGGAGGATAGTCATGGCACTTGTCTGAATTACCATTACAGTACTCCAGCTCCTTGGCCATGCAAACTCCTACCTCTCTACTTTCAAAAGTCTAAATCAGTGGTGTCCAACCTTTGGCCCTTGAGGTGCTTACAAATGGCCTGCAAGACCCTAACAATAAATACCCTCCAGTTTCCTTAAGTTAGTCCTCTACAATACTAGTTACTGAATGGCCTGCAATGTCAACAGGAATGAGTAATGTGGCCCATGGGCCAAAAAGGTTGGGCACCACTGGTCTAATTAATGTCACTGAGTGACTTCAACTTGGGTGAATTTCACTGTTTTCAGGAAATCCTTGCCCCAGATCTGTGATCCCTGGGCATTTTATGAGCACATACTTGCACAAAAGAAGTCTAGAAATCAAATGCCTGGGACAAATGACTGAATTGAGGTGCTACATCAAAAGAATGAGTAATGAAAGGAGTGACCAGAATCACCAGCTGATATTATTGATACTTTATGGTAGTTTCTACCTATTTTCCATCCTATCACTTCCTTGAATGTTTCCATAAAAGTCTACTTTATCTTGATTCTTTATATCTTTGATATTGAGATGTGCTAAACACAATTCCTCCAGGGCAAGAGGAAAATTGATTGAAAGGAGGACAGAATGGTGATACCATTTACAGAACACTTTTCCCCCTTATATAGATTTTTTACATTCTGCAATTGGCAAATCTGCACAGCTCTTGTGGCACTGGGGCATGGTGGCTTCTCTTTTGCAGGAACACCAGGTTTCCTGTTGATGTGGTAACATCACCCATTAACACATGTGTCAATTTTTTTAAAGTGGAATTGCATCAGCGAAAGTGCAAAAATTGTAACCAGGTCTTCCTTTATTATGCATGAAATGTTTTACAGGGTGTTAAGCATGGAAAGCAGGATAAATGGTGACAGAGTGTGAAAAGGTGTGGCAATGCTATCAGGGATGTCCAATTTGGATCCCCCCTTCTACTATGCATTCAGCCACTTCTGGCATTTAGTTGTCTGTGGGCGTCTCTCCTAGTCCATAAAAAAAAAAAGGAATGTTGAAAGAGGACTCACAGAGGAGAGCTGGGATTGGGATGTATAAACAGCACCATAGGACCGGCCACCCCCCGCCCCACCACCACTGGCTTCTCGATCCCGTCGGTAGTTGTCAAGGAAGTCCTGGTCCACAACACCCCTGGGGTCAAGCAATGATGGATGGAATGGCCCACACAGGACCTCCATGCAGTTGAGGCACATGTTCTTCTGTGTATATGGGTTCACTGGCTGATGGCCTCGCTTTGCCATTGTGAATGAACCCTTGATCTAAATAAAATATATTAACACAATAAGATTCTAAAGGGTGCCAAATTACTGATGATAAACCTCAATCTGTAAAAGAAACAGCTGCCTGTTACTGAGGAATCTTTTCACTGAGGACATTTAATTTTACCATAAATTTGACACCAAAAGTAATGTGAAATTATGGGCATTTTTGGTAGGTGCAGTTTATGTCTTTGGTACCTTACTGCTGCAAAGGAGTTTGCCCTGTTCTGGCCCAAAAGCTGAATTTGATCAAATATACAAGGGATACAAGGTCATTCAAGGTAAGTTTGGAATTTACAAAATCAAAGTTTAATTTTAAAATGATTATTACAATTCAGATGTAATTAATTAATTTTGTGCACACACTGTCAACTGACTGATGGCTTCAAATCATGGCTTTTTCATGAACCCCCTTTTACAACTGTACATGACCACAAAATTTGCACTTGAAAGGTCATTCTGCCCAAACTTACCCCATCAAATGGGTAAATGTGAGCATGACTATCAGGCAAATGGTGCTGGAACCTTGCAATCCAATTGAAGCAGTCAACATTATTACTTTAAGTATATATACAATACTATTTTTAGGTTTTTACACATACTGTCTTGACAGGATTTCTCTCAGATATCAAACTTATCCCATTATAGAGATGTGATTTTGAACAGGGAAAGAATCATCATCAAGAAAATTGTGTTGGGGTCATGTGATACAACTGAAGGGGAAAAAGATCATATTTAGACAAATGAACTAAATTTCATATGCTGCTAAATGAGTCCTCAATTTGCTCATCCATGATACAGGGGCTTCTAGGTGGCCAAGACAATCCAAAACTTGCATGATGAGTTCAGCTCAGGAGTTTCATATAGGATATGTCATTGCTCAGGATAATCAGGCCCACAAAGTCAGAGTGCTTATGGAGTGACTATACAGGGTAGCTAAAAAAAAACCAAGCGATTGACTTCAACAAGTTAGAAATCAGGCTGCAGTGCCTTGATTTGAGTAAGCATTTAGGCACAAATTGAAACAACTCTTTTGCAATAGATATAAAATCATGTGTTATGATATACATTTTTTGTTTCATCAGGATGAAAATGATCTCCATTCAGAAAACAGCTGCAACAGTCCCTGGCTGCTGTTTGAGTTGAGAGTGACAGCTGCTATTAATAAGAGCACATTTTATTTTCAGTATCAATGTTTTAAGATGTTTCTTTCTTTTCCTGCATTTGTTTTATTACTAAAACAAAGCAACATCTAACAGCTCGCAAACTCGCATGAAGATTTGGTGGTGCTCAAGACCTTGTGGGTTTAAAAGGGATGGAAAGCTAGAACAAAAAAAGAATTTTCTGGTAAAAAAAAACTTTTTGGTTAATGCTCCTGATTCAACATGCGCATTTCAACTTCTTCAGCATTCAGTTCAGTTCTTTGGATTCTGGGCCTACCACTACCTTGCTTTTGAGTCGCTGATCCCGTCTCATCAAATTTCCTAAGGATGCCTTCGAGACCAAGACCACTTGGTCTCGAAGGCATCATTAGGTCAGTTCGTTTTACTAGAAAATTCATTCACCATTCTTCTGGCTTTCCATCCCTTTTAAGCTCACAAGGTCTTAATCACTCACCAAGTCTTCATGCGAGTTGCTAGGCATTGCTTTGCTTTAGTAGAAAAAAATGTGGGAAAAGGAAGAAACAGATCTTGTACTGCAGCCTAATTTACAGCATGTTGAAGTCAATAGCTTGGTTTTTTTTTAGCCACCCTGTAGACAAGTTGGCTATTGGGACCAGGCAATCTGAAGTTTTTGGGTGCATTTGGCAATGTCATGCTACATTCAGACTTATTAGTTAGCTTGCCATCAGCATATTTTTGGCATGATGCCCTAAGGGTAAGCCAGGAGCAAAACCAAGTGGTATGACCATATATGAACATGTCAATCAGTCAACATTCCATCCTCACACTACTCTGTGCACAAATACACAGTGACTTGAACTTCTTTATCTACTGTAAATTGGCATAAGTGACCTCTAGCAAGTCCATGTCCATCATCATGAGGACCAGTGTGGAAAGGCCTGGGGTTCTGCTATGTGGTCTCTCCACATCTATGATCAGACCACATGGAATCTGCATATACAGGTTGGGCCAAAAGAAAAGCACCAAATTTTGCAGCTTATATCTCAGGACTGGCAAGAGTTAGAGGAATGAAGCAGGACTCATCAGAAAGAGCATTCGATTGGCAAGAAAAGGAAGCAACTTTCATTTAAAATTTAAAATGTTAAATTGCCATTTAATCACTGTTTTAAAAGTAAAAAAAAAAATGGTGTTGCCATCCATGATTAGGTAATTTATTCATTATTTGATCCAGAGTGTTGCTTCTCCTCACTCAAGGCCTTAAACAGAGCTTCCTCTGCTCCACTCAAAACCATTGTGAAGCTTCAGAGTTCCATAGCAAATGAAAGCTGCTTCAAAACAGCACACCAAGAGGAGCAATATGCTACACATCGCTCTAACATGTAAATTGCTGAGCTGTGCTGCCTGCCCAGTGTCCCAGCAATGTGACAAACTCAGCTAGGAGAAATTCCCTAAGAAAATCTTGCTAACATTTCAGCAGCTGGCTCCAAGTTCTCACATGCCACTTGCAATTTGGATATTCTTTCACAATCTATCCAGCACCACACTATTTCTCCTGATGGAGGACTCTAATGGCCACCTGGTCTTCTGCATTTAACTTGCCCATTGATGCACTTTGACTTTTTCATACAATCACACTGAGGAAGAAACAAAAACCATCACAGAAACAGTGGGGATTAAAAAATGCTGGCCACCGTGTATGCACTCACAAATGCAGAGGAAACCCTGATTCGCAAAGGAAGTAGGAGTTTTTCATCCCTCACCATGAAATCATCACTGTGCAAAAACTTCTGCACTGATTTTCTAAATAGAAAGTGCAGTTGATTAAAGTTTAGCCATTCTAAGCAATGACAAACTGCAAAAACATGGCAGTGGAATGCTGAAGTTGGATCTTTTTTTTTTTGCCCACCCTGTAGGCAGCCTCCATGCTCCAATTACATAATCTGCTTCAGGCATTTCTCAGTCCCTACATGTGCTGGGAACTAAGTGCAATCTAATTGTTTAGATGCATAGTCAGTTACATGTCCATCCCAAAAATGACTTTTCTACAATAATGGAGGCTTCCACACTGGTATTGATGCAGGGGTGGGGAATCCATCTCTGCCAATATAATGTTTGTACTTGTCATGGGATGATCCTGATGACTTGACCATCCAATAGCCATTTGTCAATTTAGCAAGGGGATTTCTGGACACTATAGGGGTGCTGTGAATGTCAGCACTGGGGGTAATCTTGGCACTTTGCAATCGTTAAAATTCTGCTTCCACTACTAGTCCCTTAGGCACAGCTAGATAAGTATTCTCAGATGGTAGGACTAATATTAACATGGTTTGGAACAGCCATATTTGCTGTTGTAGTTTTCTCGCAGTAGCTACCTTCTCTATGTACACTCTGAAAATCCTTCAAAATATGGTGGTTTTGCTAGGCTTTTGCCCATTCCGTTCTTCTCTTCCACATTAAGTATTGTTTTATTATTTTTGTGCATTCATTTTTGAGTCCGTTGTAAACAACAGTGATACATAGTTATGCTGAGTTTCCTGACAGGGTGATGGTGTCTATACCAGCAAGTGTGCTGAGATTGCCAACATCTGACCCAACTTTGCCTTTGACCCAGGTCCTTGGAATGGAAAGGCCTGGGGCACTCGAGGTTTGCGGTACAAGGAGATTTATAATAAAGGTATCACCCGACCCAACATGAATGAAGAAGCTCAATTACAAAAACCACTAGGCAAGGTGGAAGTGAAAAATTCGCTTAGAGTGCCGACATTCGCAGCACTCACCATATATGATAAAATTCAGCTTTGAGGCCAGACCCTCCATGTTAAGGCTGACTTCTTTGTCTTCCATTGGATTTTTAACTGTTAGTTCATATCTTCATGAAAATGAAAAAAAAGGCAAGAAAGAGATATGGAGAGGAAAATCTGGTCAACTTACGTCTTCATTGGTGGTCTGATTGGTGAAGGTAAGATACGTATGAAAGCCAGCAAGGCCAAGAACAGACCAGACGCTGAAGAAGCAGATGAATGCCACTATAACACTTGGCGGGCTCTGCTTCAATGCCTCCAGGAACTCATTATTGTTGCTATAAATTACTGTTTCAAGGGAAAATACCAGATGTGGCACATGTCATTTACAATTTCACTATGTAACACCCTGCTAAAAAATATTTAAAAAAAAGTCATAGTGATGACCCTAGAAATAAAATGTGTTCATCAATGTACACCTTTAAAATGACCTCCATGTTCCAAAGAACTACCATCCAAGCTATATCCAATGCTGCATGTAGTGAGAGCAGCCATTCCAAATTGTCTATGGATTGACTTCCTCTCTGCCTCAAATCAAACACAACCTTATGCCACACAATCATCAAACATTGTAAGGATCAGAGGGAAATTATAATTAACCCTCTAGCTGCTGTGAATGAATTAACTCTATCACTATACTGTGGGTGGTTTTGGGCCAATGGACCAAATGCAGCAAAGAGATGGGGAGTCAGAAGTATTGTCGAACATTCTTCATTGTAATCAATGTCTTTTCATGATGACTTATGATACTCATGGGGGGGGGGGGGGGGGGAGGGGGTCGATTTGATGCAGGTGTTAACTGCTGGGAGAGATTTCTGCTTCTGCTTATGTAATGTTTCAATGTTAGTTGTTAGTTGCCTGGAAAATTTCAGAATCAATATGAGCCTAGGTTTTCTCAAAACAGATAACACTCCAGTGGCATGGTCCAATCCATTTTTAAACTTAGATCTGAAACACAGAGAAATTTCATAGTGAGAATTACAATTATGAACTCCTGCATGGAAGAGAGCAGAAGAGCATGTTTCTATATTTCTTTAATGGATGAGTGAGAACAGCACTGGGATTCATTCACATGCACACATCTTCCTCTTTCCTCTTTAGCAAGGGATGGGAGGAGGGGCTTAGCCATTGGCTTGTGCACTGTGAAAACCTGTTGATTCCCAAATATATAATATCAGTAGCCAATACCAATGGATGCTGCAACATCAGCAGCACCCAATTTCTTTCATTTGAGAAGTTTCCACCTCTTTTAGAAATGTTGAGCAGTTAAAGATTAATAGTATCATTGTACCTTTGTGTAATGATTGAACTATAATTTGAAAGTGAGATTTTCAAATCTTACTTATTGTTGAAGCTTTACTATGTTTGAATGGGGTCAACATGCAGTGGAACTAGTGATACTGACTCAGTAGAAAATAAGAAATACAATTCCAACTTATGAAGGCTGGAATTGTATTGGAATTGATCTATTTAAAAATAGAACTCAGCTTATTAAGACAACAGCCCATGTAATGTGACTCACACATGGCAAGATGAGCAATGATGCAGGCAAACACGTATACACAGTAGAAGCCAAGGGAGAGGATGAAGAAATAGAAGTACCGGTAATTCCTCTTCCCAACACAGTTGCCCACCCATGGGCAGTGGTGGTCAAACCGTTCTGTGATTACAAAAAAACAAGCTGTATCATGACAGAAACCTCTTCTCTCAATCCATGATTGTCAAATAGGTTACAGTTGAAATTTAATGAACCAATGGCTCTAACTTTCAGGGAGTTTTCAGAATGTCCAGTTATAATTGCAAATAAAAAAAAAAAATATTTCTTAAATTTAGCCAATTGTCTGACCTATGCCTTTAGCTACAGTGGTGTAATTGGAGAGGGAGTAGCCACCTATCAAAGTGGAAAATAGTTATTAGACTCAGAAAGTGAAAAAAGAAAGGATCCCTACAAAACATAACACCTCTCCTGATATGCAGGTAAAACTCCTAATTACATAACAGAAAGATAATTCTTGTCACACGAATGCTGCTAAGTTCACTCAAGCTAAAAATGGATGGGTGCAAAGCGAGTCTGAGAACAATGCAAGAATTAACATGAGAATTTGATTAAAGGAAATTCTAGCTCACCAACACAATTATCACAGATACTGCAGTGGGAGGCCCGTGGGGGTCGGAATATTTTGCATGTGAAGCAGTACTTCAGCTTCACAGGCACCTTGTTCACAATTATCTCCTTTGTCCTTGGAGGTGGACGATACATTGTTGTTGAGCCTGAGTTCACTGTTTCTGCAAATCACACACCAATAACAAAATGGGTTGGGAATTGTGGCATCAAGCAAAGCTGTTTTTGCTAGCAAAAGAAAAACACATACAACCCATACACAGTCATGGATACAGCCTAAGGCCCAAATGCATAATTTCTTTAATGTAACAGTAATTTAGAAATCTATGACTACTTTAATTAAAAAAAAAGAGCTCTTAAGGTCAAAGCACCATTTTTTCTCATCAAAATGAGGTTTCAGTACTTGGTTACACAGTTACAGTACAGTCTAAACATCCATTTCAAATGAATTTTCGATTCGTTATATTGCCAAAATAACATACGGTCCCTTTATTTAATACTCATGTTGCCTACAGGAGGTTGAATTTGACAGATTATAACAAGAGTAAGGCCTGCCAATTCATCAAAGGAGATTCATCCTCAAGATTTACTGAACAAAGTTAAACCTTTCCTTTTTTAAAATTTAAAATGAATCAAAACATGCTTGACTGTTTCATAAATGCTAGGTACACAAGACTATATAATAAAATAAGTATCAGGGTACAATCACCTAAGTTTAGACACTGTAATGAATAATGCTAAAAAAAAAAGGCATTCATGAGATTGCCCATAGAAAGAGTTCTTCCAGGTACAAGATGAAAATGTTACTGAGTGAAAGACATGCCTATGCCCTGAGAGTTTTGCACAATTTTAGAATATTGGACCAAAGAATGAATGCAGACAGAGAAATTCAGGAAAAAATAAATTATGAACTTTTTTTTATTGAGAAATGTTTCATATGTGGTATTGCTTATTTCTGTGCTGAGTTTTTCTTTCACATGAAACCAGGGGAACAATTGAGGACTGCTACATGGAATGTGCATGCAATGAACATATTTCCACCTTATTTTCTGTGTGTTCAAACTTAATTTCTTCCACATCCAAGTTTGGATGCTCATATGATAGGCTCTAAAAGAAGGTTCCAAGGATAACATCTTCATAACATTCATACCTACTCTTATCCTGCTCCCAGACACCAAAAATAAAGCATCCAGCTTTTACCATATCTGAGTAACTAGCAAATTACAAGACTCACTTGGTTTCACCCAAAGGATACATTCAAGATTGCTGTTACTACTTTTGGTTTCCATGCCAACAAGTCACACTATGAGGTGACAGCACAGAACCATAAGTGATACCTATACCTAAGCAGTTGGAACCAAAAAGGAGAACCAATATTTAAAGGTCCTCCAAATTTTCATGGAGCTATCAAAAGTATTTAGAAATATAAGTAGAAAGGGTAAGGCCCAAATGTTGAGATAAGGAGGCCCATAAGCTAAGGAGCTCTTTTTTCCCCCCTATAGGAGTCTATGTATTTTTAATACTAGAATTACCAGAGTAGTCAATTTGATTGCTGTACTAAAAGTAGCCTTAAGCTATTATTTTGTAACATTTTATTATTTTTTTATTTTTTCCCAGATGTTATTTGGTACATTCAAAATGCACAAATCTTCAAAATGTCAATATTAGATAGGAAAAGTAAAAACTGTGGAGGCCATTAGTTGCCAAACAAGCAGAGTAAAGGGCATTTAAAAATGGCAGTCAAAATGATTGCCCTGGTAGTTCTAGTGTTAAAAGGACCATTCACTAAGGGTGGTTTTAGCATTCAGGCCTAAATCTCCAGGAATCCATCCCTAAGATTTAAAATATAAAAATATTACTTCCAAATCATGAACAGAACAAAGCTGACCAATTTGTCTCTCGATGTCTCTTGCTTCATCAACTGTAGCTCGGGGAATAACACCTGGATCAGAAAAACTTGTCTTGAGCAGGGTGAACAAAACAAACAGGAAGAGGAGGGCTGCCACTGCAGGGAGGGCTGGGCTCACATTCACTGCCAGGTATGGTGCACTGAAAGAGAATTCAATATGAATATTTCACTCAAAACTCAGTGCATACATCTTTCTTCACATCGACCAATGTGTTGACAAAATTTACATGCTGAAAAGTCATTGAACACAGCATTTGGCCTTGGTCATGGGTGTTGCCTTCATAGGCATGTAGGTACAAAAGGTAAAAGGAAGATGGTATGTTTGTTTTCTGCTGATATGGATGGTTGGACCAAAATAAATCAGAAATATGCTCTACAACTAGCCTTATGAGCTCTCATGCCTCTGAATAGCTTCAGATCTAAAAAAAAAAAAACTTACTCAAAGGCAAAGAAGAGAACACTGCAGATGAAGAAGAGGAGGAAGGTGAACAAGAAGACACCAATCTGATCAGCCATCATGATGCGGCCATCACAGTAGAAGCGGTTCCTCCCAGGGTGATACATCCACTTGCGTACTGCCATGGTGCCTTGATTGGCCTCAATTTGCTTTGAATAATCCTTGTCTGACTCACAATCACTATCTTCACTCTTGTCTTCTGCTGCTTCTAAGTCTTTTGTGTAGTCAAGCTTGACCTTCTCTTCTGTGGGAGGTTTAGAGGGGATTCCATCAGATTCTGGCCAGATCAGGGAATATGTATATCTTGACTGTGAGCGCGTTATCCGCATTAGTATATTTCAAAAGCCACTTGCACATTAGAGCACATTCTTGGCCCATTCAAAGAAATTCAGTGCCACGGAATTGAACAGGTCAATTACAAGGCCATGCATACTGGGTCTGGTCAGCATTCACTTTGAGGCTCTGCTTTCTAAGCTCTGGGTCTCCAGCCTGTAACAAATTAGTTCTAAGATTGCTCAACAAGCCAAGGCTTGATCCTACACATCAGTGCTAAAATCAACCCTAACCTAGGCCTAGGTTTAGAGCTCCATGTGACTGGCAATCTGAGTTCTGATTCCAGGCCTATACTCCTCCATAGTTTAATACCTGGAGAGCTGTAGCTGCTATCTCATGCTGGGGGAGAGAATATTTGAAACAATATATTGCAAGGTAATATAAAAGGAAATGGTAACAAAGCCATGTGCTAGGCTTATTTTGGCAGGTTTCTCTCTTGGGAATCAGTGGATCTGCAAGGCATACAAATCCATGTCCAATCAGTAATTCAAACCAACATAGTCTAGTAATATATTCAACATTAACTGGAATACCAGAGCTATTTATGCTTCACTTATTCCTATCATAAGGCCAAGTCAGATACGAATGACAGCATGTAAACCATATTCTGTAAACCTATGACTTACCAGAAAGCAATCTCAATCTCTCAAGTTCACAACTTTAATTTTAATTAAATGAGTCGCATCAGTGTGAGTCTACTTATTCTTAAATTGCATTGGCTTTCAGAGGATCCACTCTATAAGATTATCCACAAAGGCAACAATCTGCATATGTCACTAAAATGACTTTGAAAAAGAATTCATATTTTCTTTTAAATATGTTACTTTCATGGCACAAGCAGAGTTGCTGGAATATATTTCCCAGGACACACATGGCACTATTTTTTGATGATGGTATGAATTCAATCCAAAAACCATGCATCAAGAGTCTGTCTCGCTAAGTTATGCAGATGGTGTTATACAGGATGTACTTTTCAAATACTTGACCAGTGAAAGGCAGGTTGCTGCAAAACCTATAGGACAATGTGCTTCAATTTGAAGCTGAATTAAAGATAGGATGTGCTGCTTGAACTAGTGATAACATCAAGTGATTAAGGTTTGAGGCTGTCACATTCATATTAAGGATGAGGAGTGTATAGATAGACACAAGTTTTCCTACTATTGCTTATTATGCTTCATCCCTGTTTGGTGCAAGAGCATGGTCATTTTCAGTGCACTCTGTGCTTTATGGAGCATAGCTACCTTTTTGTATGGTTGGTTAGTGATACAGTGTAGGTTATAAATGTGCTTTCACTCTGATCCCTTCATCATGAGTCAGAGGAGTGCATATTAGCCAATACCTCACACCCCAAATTAATGTTCATTGTGTCTATTATCATATATAAAAGACAAATCCATTGGTGAAAAGTTTGAATGGGTCATCCTGGGGATGCTGTCTTTACCAATGACTTCAGATTTGAGAAGGGCAGAAACTAACATGCCATTTCTTCAGGATAACAATGAAGAAGCTCTTCCAGAAGAGCTTCATGTTTAAGTCTATCCACATATTCCATTCAAGACTAAGATGAACAAACTCTAAAAAATCTCAATGGTCCCAAAATTCTAAGAGGGAAAAAAGTGCCAAGAAAATAAAACTTTTTTACATCAATGGACCTAAATTTTTACTGAATGACTGAATTTCCATAATTCAACTGGGGTGCAAGCTCCAATAGCTTTAAACCTATAAATGACAACTATTTTCCTGTCAACCCATTGTGTAGATCAGTCTCTCACATCCTCTCACTGCCATGATTTTCAGATGTACAAACCCTACCTCCAGAATGCTGCCACATGCCTTCTAAAAAAATTTACCAAAGCTGAATAAGTGATAGAGGCAAGAACTAAGTATTTCCTGCTTTTACCAATGTAGTGGGTGCAACTAAATGAAAGTTACAGAATCAATCATTTCTGCAAGTTTTGCTCACAACTCATTCTCATCTCCTTATTACTGACATTTATCTCATCTACAGCTCCTAGGCATCCTGCGACATTGTAAAAAGTGCATTATACCACCATATTAAAATCAATAGATTGAGACTTTCCGAGAGAATATGAAAAATCAACGCAATATTGGAATCGAAATCTTATCCATAAAAATGTTGAAAAAGGAGAGCAACAAGGGAGACAACTTTGAGGGAACGGAAGGCCGAAAGAGACAGATGTGGGGGTTGGATGTACATATACATATTTGGTCAGTGTTTCAATGGCGTAGTTGCGATGTACCGGGTGTTCACAAAACGAAATAACAAAACCTCGACTAACTAAACCTTATTTTTCCATTATTGGGGCGCCCATGCATGGAAATTGCCATAGACGGCTGTCTAAGCCATCAGAAAAAGTTGGACTAAAGTCAAACCAACTGCTCATCGGGACGCAGTATCTCGATTTGGGGCAAGTCCTAGACTTATGACACTAATTTCATTTCTACATTATCAGCCTAAGTCTAAGTCCCGCTGAGTCAATCGGAAAAGTATTGGATCAACTTGAAAATGGATAATCTCATTTTAAATCTACAGTACTGCTAAGTAAAGCGACTAAGGTCTGAAGTTAGCGCAACGCGGCAGCCATGTTTGACTTGGACCAAGACGACCATGTGCCCATAACATAAGCTACGGAATCCCCAAATGATATTAGAAACGATAATATTAATAAGAATAAAGGCTTGATTGATTAGAAGAATATGCATTTAAAAAGGCATGCAGAATGAGAATCAGGAGTTTTAAATCTCCTAGAGATTTATTTAAGGCATCCTAATCTAAAATAACGAATGAAATTCCAATATTAACAATATTTCACCAATCAAAAACCTACACTGATTACTTCGTGTCCACAAAACTAAAAATGACATCGATTCATAATTCAGACGAACAGAACTCCAGGATTTTGGGAGGTGAAGAAACTTCCATTCAAACAGTCGCCATACTCGTACAACTTTGGGAAGTAAAGGGGATGGGGAGCTCTTAGCTCAGTGGGGGAGAGAGAGCGTAGATGGCGCTGAATCTAAGATGGTGCTTGGTGTCTGCAGTGTTGGAATTTAGCCGCTGCATAGTGTTGGTTAAGGGGAGTTGCGGTTGTTTTGGCTTGGGCTTGTGTCTTTTTCATCGATGTAAAATGTTAATTCTTAACCAAATAGGGCCTTCAGTAGCGTGCAAATATATCATAAGTGGACAGAATGTTGCTTTGGAAGTGCGAAAATTCCCCATGGTGCAAAATTTAAGCCATGAACTGAATCCAGAATAGTAATAACCTACATTTTGTGAACATGCTGAAGTTTGTGAATAGGTTTTATGCTCTGGCCTATGGTCTGGAATGTCTGGTTGCGTAGGCCTACCAGTATGTCTGAAGGCTTTCTGGTAGACCATTTGAGAAAGCACGTCAGAAGGATAGACCTATCAATTTTAAGTTTAGGGTTTCCTTGACATGTAGCCAGAATCTTGCCTTTGGATTATGTAGTTGTTTCATGTAGCAGTTTAAGATTTCCAGATTTAGTTAATTTCCAGTTTCAGTATTTTATTTGTTAATTGTAATTGAGGCAGACCATAACATTAGGGGAAGGTGGGGCAAAACAGGGTGATTCAGGAAAATTGCCAAAATTTAGTACCAAGGAGTTGTAGCACATTGTAGATTGATATACAATGCCTTTCATTTCTTACCTATGACTAGGATTAATCTTCATTGTGAAATCAGTGATGGTTTTTTCCCCCGACAATTCCAAAAATTGTTTGCCCCACAGGGGCACCCTGTGGGGCAAAATTTTACAAAGTTCACAGAACAGAAACAGCAATGAAACTTTTATGGCAAAACAAGTGTTGCTGTTTCAAATTGTTATCCACGTATTCATCATAGATGGAAATTTTGAAAAAGTCACAAACACGTCCTCATCTGTGTCATCATCAATGCCAGCACAGCTGTCATGAGCTGAATTCCGGTGATCCAACCTTCACTGGGTTTTGAGCAAGAGAAAGAATCTGAACATCAGCACATTGCATCAGCCTGAGCCTCACTGTTGTAATGGATAGTCAGAGGAACACCCCATTTAGTCCCCTCACTGTGACCCTGTTTTGCCCTACCAACACTGTCAATACTGCCAAACAAAAAGTGAGGGAATTCGGAAAAAAGTATGACTTTATTTAATATTTCACATTTTCACCTTCAGCCAAAAAAAATATTGGACATCTCCAATCTTTCCATGTTACTTTGTTTTGCTCATGAAAAACTCAAAACAAAATAAGAAAAATCAATGTTTTCTTATTGTTCTCCTACGGTGTTTACAAACTACTTCACAGAGTGCCACCATGCCGGAAAACTTGTACCATTGGGAGCGGTTATAATATGGTAAATAGCTGATAGGTATCAGGTATGGTTTGGTTAAAATCTGAGTTACCCTGTTTTGCCCCACCTTCCCCTACTGGTAACAAAAAACACTTTTCTAGCTTATGTCCAATTATTCCTTCAGATAATAATGACCAAATAAATTGATTTGAAACTGGGATTGAACTAAACTGAGACTGAAGCAATATCTAAAGTAGAGAACATGAAATACTGTAGGGTACTTTACAAGGTGTTAGGCTTTATCTACTTTGAAGGTGGGTTCGCACATGGGCCCACGCTCCTGTCGAAGTTGCTCTTTTATCAAATTTCATGTCATTGTCTGTGGAAGTAGGGACATATTAATGAACTCCATGAATGTTGCCAACTCTTGAGTCTCTCTAACAGGCTCTGAATGAATCCAAGCTCATCAAGGAGCTCTTGAAGGTTTGAGTTAGTCTCTGACTATAGTATGGTTATACAGTGAAAACTCGTTAACTCGAATCCTGATAAGTCGAAATTCCACTTATCTCGATGTTCAATGCTTGGTCCCGGCGGAACCCTGTAGGACACCATGTTAAAAGCTCCGTTTAACTTG